AAAAAAAAAAAAAAAAAAAAAAAAAAAAAAAAAAAGGGACTGACTTTTTGTTTGTAGAGGCCACTGGCCATGCATGCATGTTGACATGCTCATCCACGATCGGTGCTTTGGCCATGGCAGGCAGGGTGTCGGCGACTGCCTGCATCAACTGAACGAAAAGTAATGGCAGTCGCCGACATAGCTGCATCAACTGAACGAAAAGTAATGGCAGATGTAATCAGCACAATCAGCAACACCACTCTCTCTCCCCCCCCCCATTCCTCTTGCAAGAAATGATCAAAAGTAATGAGCACAATCAGCAACACCACTCATGGAACTACCAACACACTTTTCTGACGCAGGTCACTCCACACCGTTATAGCTTCATTGTCAATTCCACGACCAACTAGAGTCGAAAGACCAGCGTAACAGAAAGAGGGATGAGAGAGAGAGAGAGAGAGAGAGAGAGAGAGAGAGAGAGAGAGAGAGAGAGAATGCACATCTTGAGACTGACTTCGATGAAAAAGGTGAATGCGATGAGACCACGTCAGTAAAAGAGATGACCAGGCAAATGCACGAAGATAAGATCAAAATGATAAAGCTTCAAAAAAACATCGACCCCTGCTTCAACTCCCCCTTCAGAACCCCTCGACTTCAACAACTCTTCTGCTCTTTGTAACTTTGGCTGGAATCCATTATACTTGTCCCGGCATGACTAATCGGTCACAATGCGCACCATAACAACAGACTACCCTATCTTCTCAGATAAAATAGATTATGCTCAGGCACAAGCATCTACTCCTTTTGGAATCTCAGGCGTCAACGTGTGGGTCTCATATTCATAAAATCAACCAAACGTTCCAAAACACATTTGCTACAATCCAAAATGTGCTTAAATTTCGTAAAGGACGATACCACGCGGCGGCACAACTCTTTGGACGGGTCCAACATCCCGCATTAGTATCAGCGATCTCGTCAGGCCGCTTTGTTCATCCACCGTGTCAGGCCTGTTCAAGACTCTCACATCTCTACTCTACCTTTCGGCAATCTTGGCATATAGCTCGAGCCGTCCAGCCGTCCAGGACTGCAGCCGAATGTGGAGAATTTATGGATCCTTGCTATGCAGAAAAAGGGGAAGGCTGTTGCAAGCATCGGGCGTAAGCGTCAATAGAGGGGTGCAGGCAGGAGAAGGATGAGGGAGAGGTTGGGAGTGAAAGGGATCCGAGAAGGTTGGAAGGTCCACAAATACACGAACCATGGCCTGTCGCACATCTTCTTCCGGAGATCCCCACATTCATATGTGGTTGAAGCAGACGCTAGGAGCACTACTACCGTCTTCCCCCGAACACAACGCACCCCCATTTTGCCTGTATCGGGCCGGAAACATACCTTGAATACGTTCATTTTCAGGGTGCGTTATGTTCGGGGGAAGACGGTAGTTTTACAGTTTGGACCATTTCTCGGTATATGTCTGTCATCCTTGCACAGGGTCATGCTGATCTTCTCTGTATCATTCCTATTTCAAACCAACACTACCCCTCCGTCCTAAATTGGCGGGGACTGGTAGCACAGGTTCATGAGGACTACCAATAGCACAGTGGGAAGAATCGGCCGAGCGGCAAAAATGGAAAATGCATCGAATTGCCGCCGCATTTTATTTTGCAGTCGAAATTATTATTATTATTTTTTTTTTTTTCCCTGGAATTTTCAGAGATTTCGAGTCATTCTTCTGAGTGCAAAAACTCGCAGACGTTGGGTACTTTCTTCGTTCGCCCACACGTGGTAGAGTGACAAAAAAAAAAAATGCAACAAATCGGCACCACACGTACTTCACGCCGTTCACGGTCTATATATATATCCTGATGTTTTGCTTGGATAGATCACAACCTAATCTACAGAATCCCGATTTTTCAGATTTTTTGTCCATTCTTCTTAGCGTGAAAAATCACCAAAATTGGTGTTTGAAAATTGTGGGACTGGACCCGCCTGCGCTGCCGGTTGACGCCCCTAGTGTTGACGCTCCGCTGGCGTGCATCTTTGAGTTCCCCGCTCCCATGCTGACTCTCATTTGAATGTGCCTGGCCGTTATTAGGGCCAAGTGCATAAAATTGGTGCTTGTCGCCGTTTTGTGCTCCCCATCTCTCTCTCTCTCTCTCTC